TTCTTCCTGAAAATTGCAGCTATAGGTAGAGACATGAGGGGAGGAAAACAGTTATTTTCTGTACATTAGAGAAAGCAAGAGACTCTGTTACTGTGCTGAACAAGTTGTATAATTCTGATTTTAAAATGCCTATACAACTGTAAGTGGATGCAGTACCTGTTAGTTTCACATAATTCAAGCAACTGCAGCAAAGCAGTCCCTGAAAGCCTGAGTCTTTCTTCCTCCACAGCATTCCCCTGCTACTCAGATTGTGCAGCTGAAAGCTCAGGACAATGACACAGGCAGAAATGGTTTCCTGACATATGGCATTCTCAATGGACAAGGACTGAAATTCAGAATAAATGAAACCACTGGAATCCTTTATTCCACTGCCCCCTTTGATTATGAAGAGGAGCCCACAGAGTATCAGGTTTGCTTTAGATATTTTAAATCTTCTTTATTCAGATCTCTTTATCTTTCTCTTGGAAAACAGGTGACACTTGTGCTTTTGTTTAGCTTGATAATGCTTGAACATTTTCTGCACTGGTTTAGAATAGGAGCATCTCAAGGTATGAGGCATTATTAAAGCAAGCCACTGCCTTTTGACTAGAATGAAATTCAAGCAGAGTTCATTGTTCACCTGCCCTGAAAACACTTCAGCACATGAATAACTAATTTCACAATGACAGCTCATGTATTCAGCACTGTCTGATGCCTGAACCTGTGCTGAGATCTTGCAGATATGATTCTCAGTTAGTCTTCTTTCTGTTGTTGCCACTGCTGGATATTTTTTATGGTCTTATTTTGCTTCAAGCAAAAATATTTGTGAATTTGTTGGTTCTACATGGAAAGACTTTTTTGTTCACCCAAATACTCATTAAGTTTTCAATAATCATTTTGAGGAGAATTCAGAACTGGACTTTACATTTCTAAGAATATTTCAAAATTTAAAATTCACCAAGATTTTAAAAATCCTTATGAAAGGACTTTGTATGACTTCTCACCACAAATAACTGTGTAACTTACAGGTTGTGGTGTATGCTGAAGATGATGGGATCCCTGAGAAGAAGAGGGGTTACTGCACAGTTGTGATAAAGATCACTGACATTAATGACTGGCCGCCTGTGTTTGACCCAGTGCCTGACTTCAGTGTCCATGAAAACGTGCCTGTGGGATTCATAGTTGGAAAAATCACAGCATCAGACAGAGACACAGGAGACAATGCCTTTGTTCTGTATCACCTCACAGGTAACAAGCAATTCTGCCACTGCACTGGCACTTTGTTGTCTATACAGTTATTAGTATTACCCCTGTTATTTCCTAACCTCTTTCCACCAAAGCCAAGAACATTCACTTTCACCTGGTTAGGAATGTTACTAATTCATGCTCATACAGTTTTCAAACCTTGGCTTGTGTTTCAAACACCCACCCACTCAAAATATTTCTGCTCTTCTTCTACATTATCCATACACCACTTTAAAAATTGTTTTGATGAGTTCAGGGCACAAGTAAACATATAATTTAAGAGTGTAGTTAATTATGTGCTGCTAACATGTATTAATTGATGATGCTTGTTTGAATCTGTCTCAGGTGAGGGAGAGAATATATTTGAAATAGATGAAATACAGGGCATCATTAAGATAAGGAACTCTCCAGACTATGAAACCATGAATAAATACAACCTTACAGTGACTGCAGTCAACAATAAATCTGCCCCTTTCTATCAGGTAAGAGACCATTACTGTAATGATCAGCAACACTTCAGAGTGGATTTTGAACTGCAGGGAGGGAGATCTATCCCAGCCATTTATTGTGTAGGATAAATGAGTCACCTCATCATGTTTAGAGTCAGACTTCTACAGCCTTTAACCACACTGAGTAGTAGTAGTATACTTTAATTATGTGAAATACTTCAAAATTATGCATGGCAGGCTTTGACCCTGAATTGTTTGCTGACTGACCTGTGCTGGGGAACTGGTCTCCTGCTGTTAGAACTGTAAGTGATGTGATAATTTTTTGTGGAAGAAGTATTTTCAGCAGATTGTTCTAGTTCTGCTGTATTTCTTTCATTTGAAAAGTTATTAGACACTTCTTTAACAGAATCAGAATGTGTGTGGTTTCCTTAAATGCATGGAGGACGTGTTGGTCTCCTGAACATGTCCTGCTCTTACTCATTCAGACACCTTTCAAGAAGAATCCTACTGCAACACTGATTTCCTGCCTCTCCTGCTAAAATCCTGTAGTGATCTCTGATGCTGAGTTCACACAATTAAACCCAGACAATATTTCACTGCTGCCTTTTGAAAGCCTGATTTATAATTTCTGTTGCACGTGCGAGTAAGGAAAAAAGCAATGCTAAGTAAGAGTTTCTGAATGCTCTGAGATGCATGGCACCATTTTGTTTTCCAGGCAGCCAGCCCTGTCAGTGTTGCAGTGATTGATGTGAATGACAATGCCCCAGTGTTTGCCCAGAGCTCCTATTCTGCTTCCATAAACATGGTGAACCCCGTGGGCGCTCCTGTCCTCACCGTGAGCGCCACCGACCGCGACCAGGTGACTGATTCCTGCTGTGACCCTGAGCCTGCTCTGGGCTGCAGCACTCACACATCCTGCTCCTTTCTCCAGGCATGCAGCACCAAACCCAGCAGAAAGTGAATCCTGCTTAACTACCAGCCCTGAGAACTGGAAATTAGGAGTTTTGCTGGCTCTGCCTTGACACTGATGTGCTCCCTGGCTCTGCGAATGTTTCCTCAGCTGTATTCCCTTTAATTTTACTGTTTCCTGCACAGAGCTGCATGCACCAGTGCTACAGAAGTACACAAGGGCTGAAGCAATTTAGTGTCTCTGAAGTTATTTGAACTTTTGAGGTAGAAGAATCTATAAAAACTAAACATCATATAGCTGCTTTGAGCAAGGAAATGTCTGCTTGCTAAACTCCTCTGAAGCATGGCACCCCAGCTCATTCTCTCTGCCCCCATTTTTAAACGTAATTGTGTTTGATATATCTGTACTACACCCATCAAATAGGATCCAGGCACTGGCAGGGATATCCAGTAGTCAGCCACATCACCATGACAACATCACTAGTAATTATATCATTTACAAGATGAAACATCTCCAAGTGACAACAAAATAGGTGTAGCAGGTGCCTTCCCATTTCTCCACGCATAATTTTGGTTGGAATAGCTGCAGCTGTGGCACATTGCTGCAAATCATCTAACAGCCCTTTTTTAATCAGCCTTTTCAATGACTCTGCACAAAAAGTGCAATTGCCTTTGAAAATTGCTGAACTGTGGGAGATCTGCATTGAGACCCCAATGAAAGTGCTCCTTCAGCTGTGCAGATTGGCACTTGTCCTCCCTGTGCCACCCTCACTACTCTGACTGTCCCCCTCTACACAACTTATTTTCATTAGAGACTTTTTGCCATGTTTTTACTGTGTAAATGTCCAATGTACTGTGTATTTTCTTCTGCTCTGTGGTTTTGGTTTTTTTTAAATTTGTACACGTCCTCCCATAGCTTTCATTCTTCAAAAAAAAACCAAAAAAACCGTTTTTACTGTGTAAATGTCCAATGTACTGTGTATTTTCTTCTGCTCTGTGGTTTTGTTTTTTTTTTTTAAATTTGTACATGTCCTCCCATAGCTTTCATTCTTAAAAAAAACCAAAACAACACTGTTTTCAAAATAATTTCACTAGAGACATTTAGATGCTTTTTGGATCTCTTGTTTCAGTGTTTATCCTACCCTTCCAAACACACTCCCAATTCCATGAAATTGTGGTTTTTTCGTGGCAGGGGCAAAATGGCCTCATTGAGTATTACATCCTCCCGGATCCCACCGTGAGCCCTTTCTTCCTGATAGAGGATTTGAGTGAGGGGAAGATAATTACAACTGGAAACCTGTCTAGGTCTGGAGAGATGCATTTGACAGTGATGGCAAAGGACAAAGGTTCTCCTCCTTTAAATGGCACTGCTGTGGTTACTCTGAGTGTGTTTGACAACCGCCCGTTCATTCCTCGCCTCAACAAAAGTGAGATCAGGTGAGGCTTTCAGATTCAGTTAAATAACTGGGATGTCTTCACCAGGTGGTGCAAAACATAGCAAAGTTGAAGGTCACTTTCATATTTTTCCATGCAGAAGAAAGGACATCAGTTTTGGGGGTTTTTTTAAGCAAAACATAGGAAATTCTGCTACTCTTGGGGTTCTGTGAATGTGAGTTGAGGCACTGCCTTTCATTTCTCTACTTTGCAGCTTTTATAAGGCAGACTCTTTGTCCTTTTTCTCTTGAACACTATAAAACATTTTTTCTTAGGTTTTACTCAAAGATGACCAAAACTCTGGCTGGAAAACCAGGGTTTGCACTGCACTCTGAAAATTGGGCAGATCTGGCAAACAACAGGAGGGAGGGGGCAAGATTAAAAGAGAACTCTCTTTTAAAGACTTACATTTCAAACCTGAGCAACCACTGCTGGCAAATTTAACATTATGGTTTATCATTTATTTCCTGCATCAGCGTTTCTGTGTTGGAAAACACTGGAGTGGATTATTTAATTTTTAATTTTGCTGTGGTTGAAACTTCAGGAAAACCGATTGATTACACTGTTGTATCTGGCAATGAAAGAGGTGAGTACCAGCCCCCTTATGAGTTAAAATAGCCAGGAGAACATCATAACCTGTCTCTTGCATGGCAGGTGCTGCTGTGCATAAATGAGGAGATGGAGAGCACGGATAAAACTTTTTTTAAAAACAGGAGTACACAGAGGATTTTTTTCAGGCTTTTCAGCATTGACTTTGCTGATCTTTGGCTTTAGGAAGGGTGGCAACTTGCTAAGAAATGGCTTCTTTTAATCTTAAACTATAAGATAAGGATAATTTAGGGACTGGGGGAGCCAAAATAGAAAGTGTTGTTAACAAGCAGCTTCCTCCCTGCCAATCACTTTTAGTGCATCATTTCCTTGCATTTATGTTGAGGCATCTGCCCCCTTGCAGCTGTGCCCATGTTCCATTTGGCCCACAACAAAGGCAGTACACAGAAACTGAGAGAAAAACTGGAAATGCATAAAAAATGGAGCCGTGCAAGAAGGAGCTGCAATTCCCCTTATTTGTGAAATCATGTGAAATCCTTTTTCACATTTACTGCTCCTTTGCACGTCTCAGATCTGTTTGGGGTGGGGTAGGAGCCCAGCTGTGATGCCTGGCCAGTGGAAGTGTTGAGTGAGCAAAGGAGCCATGGAAACATCCCAAGGGCAACTAATGGCAGTGTCACAGCAGAAGTGTCTGTTTGTCCTTTCAGGTCACTTTAGACTGGATCCTGAAAGTGGTGAGCTGAGAACAGCAGTTAATTTGGACTATGAGGAAGTTTCCCAGTATGTGATTTTAGTTCAAGCAAACAAAAGAGTCTCCTCCGCTGCAGAAGTCCAGCGTTCAGGTAACTTCACGCTTTGAACAACATTCCAGGGGAGCAACTGACACAGCTTTTGTGCTTGCAATCCACACAGGAGTTGTGATAACGTGCAAAGTCTGATGTGACAGTGAAAAGCTGCTGGTGCAGGTTGTTCACTTGTGTTTTCCCAGGGCTGTTTGCTGAGAACGCGGCCATGCTGACGATCTCCGTGCAGGACGCCAACGAAGCGCCCGCGTTCTCCAGCCACTCCTACTCTGCCCGCCTTCCCAGCTCTGTGCCCTACAAATACCCTGTCATCACAGTCCAGGTAGAGTGTTTCCTGCGTGGCTTTCTTGCACTGCATTAAAGGAGCCTTCAGTTTACTGCCTGAAGAACAACGCGCAGCCCAAACGCCACAGGCTGAGTGTCACAAATCGCTTTTTTTTAAACCCAGGCCACAGATCCAGACTCAGGAGACAATGGACGTCTGCAGTACAGCTTAGTGGGAGGTCAAACCAACGAATTTGACATCAATGAAAACACAGGGCAGATTTTTACAGTTTCTGTAGCAGGAAAAGCTGGAACATTTTATCTGGAAGTGCAAGCTGCAGACCAAGGCACGAGAAGACTCACAGCCCAGACAACAGTCAGTGTAAGGAAGATTTTTATGTATAATCCTGGTTTACTCCATGTCAAAATTGTAAATTTTGCTAATTTTGGTAATGGCAAAACTACAAAATTAATTAACTCTGTCAATAGGGCTGTCAGATACATGAATATTTACATATTGGAATTAAGAGGTGGCCATTTTCATTGACATATAAAAATATGTTGGCACAAAAATTGACTTTTGGAGGACAATTATTTTCTATTTTCTATAGAGGATTTTTGTTATTGTTGTTCACGTGAGGTTTTTTATGGTCAATCTACAAGAGGTACAAATGCTTTAGGAAATCTTACCTGTGATTCTTTATTAGGTAACTGTTGATGCCAGTTCCAGCAGCAACATTGTGACGCTGGTGCTGAATCAGAAGATCAGTGTTGTGGAAAGAAAGAGTGCTGAAGTACAAAGGTATTTTTGAAACTGTGAAGCTTATTCTGGTGTAATATCTGATGATAAATTCAGAGTTCCTTTGGGATAGGGGTCTGACAGCCTACAGCAGTGCTCAGGAAAAGCCAGGCCTTCCATTTGACATAGCTCAGAATAATTTGAGCAAATTCCCAGGAATCCACCAAATTTTGCCTTGTAAGTTTTTACCCTGAAGCTGACACATCTCAAAGAGGTCATTGGACTAAACAATTTCATGTGGTCTCTTCCCACCTGGATGTTTGTGTCATTTTTAACAGCCTAGGATAAAGGTTTTCATGGACAGCAGGATAAAAACATGGAGATATAGGGCAGACACCTCAAACCAAACCCACCATTAAATTAAAACCACAATTGGGCCTTTCTGGCATGTTAACAAAGATGGAAGAGCTGTTGTTTGGATACACATAAACATATATTTACATTGGAAAGATTGAGTCCTGTGCTTATAAAGGGAAATCACTCTGAAGGTGGGAAAAATGAGTTTGTGATGCTGATGCTATTATGGACCAGTCCTTGTTGGTAAAAATGGAAATGGAAAACTTCCTTGGAAGCAGCTGGTGCTGACTGCTACCAGAATGATGGATTAACTGGGCCACTGGTCCCGTCCAGCACGAAATTTCTGGAAGAAGAGGAGAAAACAATGAGGATTATGAGACTAAATTTCCCTCCTCCCCACCTTTACTGTTTACAGTAATCTATAGATAATTTTTTTTCTCTGTTACTCCATCACTCAACAATTTTGGACAAGTAGCTTAATTCCTTTGCTGATGATAATCCTGAATTTTTACATGCTTCAATCAAAATACTTGCCAAGGTATTTTTATTAGTATCAATTAATATCTGCCAAGTGTTGTATTAAATACTACTTCATTTAATTTCCAGACTAAAAGAATCTGTCATTGCCCAGTCAATTAAAAATGTTTTCTTCATATGATGTCAGGGTCCTGGAAGAGAAACTTGGATGGGATGTGTATGTGCTTAATATTTATTCCAAGGAGTCTGACAGAAATTCAAGGAGCAGCACTGATGAAACCCAAGTAAACATCATTGCTTTTGATGAGGCCCACCAGGAAGTACCTGCAGAAGATGTAAAAAGGTCTGTATGGCACAGTCACAGCACAGTCTGGCTTCTGGGGGTCAGAGTTTGTTCAGACAGCATTCTTTACAATGCAGAAAGCTGATTCACTATTTACCAAAACCTAATTTTCAGAGCTTGCCAAAAAACATGGGTAAGGCTGTTTCATTGTGCAAATTAGATTTAAAAGTCAGTTTAGGAGAGAAAAAGTTTAAGAGAGACAAAGAATATAATGAAAATATATATTGACCTGATATATTTTTTAATATATACATATACAGCTTATATATATATATACCAGATATATATAGATAGATAGATAGATAGATAGATAGATAGACCTGATATATACATGGAGATGGATGGATGGATGGATGGATGGATGGATGGATAGATGGATGGATAGATGGATAGATAGATAGATAGATAGATAGATAGATAGATAGATAGATAGATAGATAGATAGATAGATAGATAGATAGATAGATAGATAGATAGATAGATAGATAGATAGATAGATAGATAGATAGATAGATAGATAGATAGATAGATAGATAGATAGATAGATATCAGAGTGGCAGAATGTTGATCCACAACCCCACACTTGAGTTGTATTTCACACTTTTTACACTTCTTTGGTAACCTGTCAGTGATGTGGATCCAGTGCAAGCTCTGCAGCACTTTAGGTCACAAGCAGCAGGGCGGGTTGCTGGATAACAGAGCTTTTCCTGAAGGAAAGCCACGACAAGCGCGAAGGCCCGGAAAAGGGAGGGATATTCTATATTTTCCTGGCTACTCCTGCAGCCGAAAGGAAGGCGAGGTTCAGCTGCACGTTTTCCCCTCTCTGCCCAGGAAGCTGCGGGAGCAGAGGGGTGCCATCGAGCTGGGGCTGCAGCAGGTGTTCTCGGCACCTGTCAGCGCGGCGCTCGCCGAGGCTCCGGCCGCCCCGGCGCGCCCGGAGCTCGCGGCTGCCATCGCGCTCGGGGCGCTGCTCGCCGCCACCTGCATCGCCTTCCTGGCCTACGTCCTGCTGGATCTGAGAAGGAAAAGGTACACAGGGCTCTGCCTTAACAGCGTCACTCACCCTTACAGCTGATGGGTTTAATGAAGTGCCAGCTCCAAAGGTGTCAGTCTGATAAATTACCGGCTTTTGCAGGGAGCACTGGCCCAGATTTGTTATGTTGGATGCACCGCACACAACTGGAAGTTGTTTCTTCTTGTGTTTGTCACACAGCAAAGGCAGAAGCAAATACTTCTGAAACAGAGAAATGTGGGCAGCAGAAATTTTCACTGTGACGGGGGGCACATGAGTCTTTTCCAACCCTATAAATGGCAAAACCAAGGGAGGTTTTGCTGCTTAAATCAAGGGAGGTTTTGCTGCTTAAATCAAGGGAGATTTTGCTGCTTAACTTCAGGGCCACATGGTAGAGGAAAACAATTTCCAGAAGGGAAGCAAACATTTACCCTGCTACCATTATGGGAAAATAGGAAATACTCCAAGCTAATCCCCAGAACAACACTGAAAATAAATGTTGTGTATTAAACTTATAACACGAATAATTAATCTTCTGTTTCTAAAACAGCTGTAAAGCCAATTTTCAAAAAGAATTTTTTATTATTATTATTTTAATGTATTGTTTTCAGAAAGTATGGGAAACAGGATTTGGTTAAGAAAGTGGATATTATGGATGGCATTGATAACCCATGGGCAGATGACAAAAATGGAAGTCTGAAAAGCTTAGAGAAACCAGAGCATGTGAATAATGGGTAAGTAGACTGCTGCAATCACAAATTTTTAAAAAGCTGCATATAAAAACCATGGTTCTAGTTTATTTTGGTGCCATAGGATTTTCTCTGCATCTCCCACTAGGCTATAGGCCCATTTTTAAGGACCCTTAAAATGACAAGTTAAAAATCTCTACATTTGAAGGAAGTTAATACCTTTTAATCTTGTATCAAAGGCAAATTCCTACTTACTCTTTAGCAAACTGTTAACCCTAATGCAGAAAAGACTCTTCAGGATACAAGAAGCTACTTAATTCCCCTGGGTACAATCCCACTAATTTTGAGATCAGTGTACACGCTGCTCTTGGTTGTAGAGAGGCTGAGATTTTTGCCTATGGTGCTATGAATTCTCTGACCTCTCTTAGGAGAACTGAACTGATGTCATTTGACAACCTGGAAGGCACCAGAGGAGATGATGCTGAAAATGACAGAATTCAGGCCCCTGAAAAAGACAATTACCTGGAGACAGTGCTGCTGGATTACAAGGGTGAAAGTGAGGAAAATGGAACACCTGAAAAAGCTGCTGAAAGTAGAAATGTGGAGGCCCAGCCCACAGCAAGATTCACAACAGAACAGGTAATGAGCTTTTTGACTGCAAAGCATGGAGTGCAAGGTATTTTATTGTTATTCACCAAATAACTGGAGGAATTATCAAAACAGCTAATCTGATGGAACTAAAAACAAAAAAATCTTGTGAAGTAATCCCTGGGAGTGTCCAAAGCCAGGCTGGACAGGGCTTGGAGCAACCTGGTCTAGTGCAATGTGTCCCTGCCCATGGCAGGGGCTGGGGCTGGACAATCTCTTATGGTCCTTTCCACCCCAAACCATTCCATGATTCTATAAAAAATCTTAAGAGGAGGGGCTGTTTGTCCATGCCTAGAAGCAGGAGCAGAAGTGATGATGCTCTTCTGTCTTTATGGAATGTGAACAGTAAAGGGCTCACAATTTTATGATTTCCACTGTTTATAATTTCTCCACACTCAAGCATTTGTAGCTTTCTGCCTCACCTGCGTTACGCTTTTTTGCAGAACTCCTTTGCAACAGACACAAACCAGAAGCCAGCTCTTTCCTTAACACCTCATCCCACATTGCCTGCCCCTGAGAAAGAACTGAAAGGAGTAAAATTTTCAGAGGTGGCAGTGATTTTGGACATAGAGGCCGGAGAGGATGAGCCCGGAGATGATGAGCCTGGAGATGATGAGTCTGAAAACGATGAGTTTGGTGATGATGTATCTCTCTGATAAGAACACTCAGTGAAGAACATTTTTAGAAAAAGCACAATGAGACTCATTGGAACAGCTCAGAATTAAATGAGCAATAAGAATATGTGAATGTTATCCAGGTTTTAACTCTGTTGCTGTTTTAAGGCTGGATAAGGAAGACAACAAGCAATGTGCGGGAAGGGCTGCAGTGCTGTGCTGCAGGGGCGCTTCCCCAGCAGCAGCAGCGCTGTCTCACTGTGTATTTAATTTCTTCTGGCACGTGTCAAACGGGCGAGACAATAAACCCGATTCCAGAGGCGCTGCCTTGTCATTGCTTCAGATCGAGTCATTCTGGGACATCAATTCTTCTGTTCTTTTGCGCAGAAGCGTCCGCGGCAGTGTCTGAAAACGAGAGTGTTTTCTAATTCTCCTGCTTTCCTCCATTTCTGGTTTGTTTTTTGTTTTTTGTTTTTTTTTTTTTTTTTACTCTCTCCTTTTCCAGCTAGGCGGTGCCTTCCCCCGGAGGCGGGAGCAGCCCCGAAGGAGCGGCTTTTCCCGGGCGCAGGAGCGGCTTTTCCCGGGCGCAGGAGCGGCTTTTCCCGGGCGCAGGAGCGAGCGGCCGGCGAGACGCGCAGCAGCGGAGGCTCCGTGCGGCGCGGTCCCCGCTCCCTCCGCCCCCCGCGCCGGGAGGAAGGGCAGGGCAGGGCCTCGCCTTCCTCCTCCTCCTCCTCCGGCGGGGCGGGGAAGTTTCTGGCACCTTCTGGCGGTGCCGGCGGAAGCGGGCGGCAGGAGCGGGGGGAGCGGCGGAGGCGGCGCCGCGGCAGCGCCATGGCCAAGTGGGGCCAGGGGGACCCGCGCTGGATCGTGGAGGAGCGGGCGGACGCCACCAACGTGAACAACTGGCACTGGTGAGCGCCGCGTCGGGATGCGGGATGCGGGATGCGGGATGGGCTGGGGGGAATTGGGCGGCCGGCGCTGACCCCGCCGCTGCCGGGGCAGGACGGAGCGGGACGCGACCAGCTGGTCCAAGAGGAAGCTGAAGGAGGTGCTGGAGGGGCTGGTGGTGGAGGGCGAGGCCGGGCGCTGCGAGATCGGCGACCTCAAACACGTGGAGGGCGAAGCGTCCTGCAACAGCCGCAAAGGGAAACTCATCTTCTTCTACGAGTGGAACCTGCGCCTCAGCTGGAAAGGTACGGGGGAACGCGGGGTGCGGGGCTCCGCAGGGCTGGCCGGGCGCTGGCAGCGGGAGGCGGCCGTGGCTCGGGCTCCGCGCTGCTGCCGCTGCCAGCGGAGCCGGCCCCGGGGGCTCGGGAGCCGCAGTGACTCAGTCCCGGGGCCCGAGGCGATGGCGGGAGCCACGTGGGCCCGGACGGGATAAATGCGTGTTCTTAAATAACCTTGAAACCCGAGCTTGGCTTTCCCCTTCACCCGGGCTTTTCCCACCGCATATTCCTCAGCGCTGCGTCCCCGGTCTGTCGGTCGCTTTGCTTTGCGAGAAGTGAATGCCTGCATTGTGGTGGCGTTGACAGCAGCGTGCCGGGGCTGTTTAGTTCCCGAATGACAGCTGTGTGCTCCTCCGTGCCTCTGGAGAGCAGGAACACCTAGGAGACGTCACTTCACAGCTGTGCCCAAAAACGAGCCGCAGTTCACATTGGGGATTACGAATTACGGGAGGATAAAACTCTTTAGTGGCAAATAGAAATAATTATTGATTGTTGGGGCACTGGGGGCTGTGCCCGTGCTTTTTTTTTTTGTTGGGCCATCTCCGTTTGCAGTCCCAGCTCTTGGAGTTGCCCTCTGCTGTGCTTGTCCCATGACAAGCTCTTTGTTTGCAGTTTGGCTTTTGGTGATGCCAAGGAATTCTTCCCGTTTGTTAAATGCCTAAAACTTGACAGCGAATTGTGGCCTGTGTCTTGCACTGGAGAAAAAAGCAGGAGCAGCTGATGGGATGAGCCTGCACAGGAAATTGTCCCTGGATATTGTAGTGCCAAGTGACAGGCTGTGCTTCCCCAAATACTGTCCTTATTCCTCAGCCCTGGGGTGTGGAGGCTGGCCGGACTGGAATATTGCTGAGACCGGGACAGATCGGGAATTCAATCTGCACCCACAATGAGAGGGGACTTTCAGCTGAGTTCTCTTGTTTTAGGTAGTTTTATGTGTTCCAGGTGTGTTATAGACTGAGACCACACTTAGAATTGTGGTGTAAATGTTAACAGAGAGCAAGGCAAATATTAGACTCTTGTGCAGTTTAAGTCAGTGTAGATAAAATATTGTAATCAGTTTTTTGACTTCTTTAAGTTCAGCTAAAATCACTTTAAGCTTTAAACAGAGGTTAGCTGAGCTTTGTGTGGTTTATTTCAGGGTATAAAGTTAGAAGCAGGCAGACAGTGTTTTGTTTGTATTTCTGTGTAAGTTCTCTCCAGAGTGTTTCTCTCCAAGGTGTTTGTGCTGGTCAGCGTTCAGAAACAGCTCTGACTTGTGCTGGCTGCTTTGCTGTGCTGAGTGAATCATGGCTTTGAGAGCTTCATTTCTAATGAGTTGGCTACTACACAGGAAATTCTAAAAAAAACCCAGAGGTTGATGATTTTTTTTTTTTTTTGTGATAGCCATCATGTTGTGTGTTTTGAAGGCTCTAAATTGGAAGTGAGAGTTCAGATTGAACTAAAAAACTGTAATTAGTTCTACAAGTCTTCAAGGATAAGTAGGACTTCAAGATTTGATTGAAAGGTGGGAATGTAAGGACAAATCATAAAAACCTTGAGATTTGCAGCTGGTTTGGAAAGTCCAGGGTAGGAAAAACATTGTGCTTAGCAATGTAGGTAAGAGAGAAACAAGAAAGTGAGGAACTGGGTGTACTTAATGGCACTAAAATTGAGAAAAATGGCTGTTCTGTCATTTTTTAGAGGATGTAATGAGGATTTTAATGGATCATTCTACATTGTGGTGCAAGCTTTGTGAAAACATGTTTGTCTTTTTAAAGCAGGTATTTCAACAGTGTGCTACAGCTGGGTCTTTCTGAGATGCGTGCTTCACACTGGACTGGCAAAAAACCAAAAAATAATTTTATTTTCAGGTCTGTTACCGAATTCCAGTGCAATTCCACCACATAATTGGAGTGACTGATAAAAAGGCAGTGAAGCTTTGTTTCCATTGCAGTGGCAGTGGAAAGGCAGAGCTGCACTGATGTTCTGCCTGTGTCACGTGGAGCCACCGGCTCTGTTTGTTCACTGCTTGGACTTTGCTGCCCAGCACAGACACTGTCACTGTGAAAATTACTGCTAGGATTGGCTGACTGCGGTCCCCAAAACTCCTTCCTGCTCGCCTGTGCTTCCTTTCTGGGGAGGAGCCAAAAACAAGCCAGGTTTTATTGTCTGCAGAGACCACGTTGTGTGGTTTTCCTGTGCTGGAAAAGGGCAGGGCAGAGCACACCGAGGTGGCTTTGTGGGCCCAGGAGTGTCCCAAGGATGGCATTACCCAGTTCCCAGGGCTTTACTGAGTGCCAGGTTCCCCTGGGAAGCTCGAGGTCAAGTTCTGCTGTCCCTGTGTGGTTGTGGATTAACAACTTCGTGTGTTGTGCAATCCCTCGTTGCCTCAGACCCGAGTAGGGAGGGATCTTTGCACTTTGGTACAACAGCTCTGCGCTCCCCTCCCTGCCAGGAAGCACCTGGGCTTTTGTTGGAGTCCCTCTCTGGGATCTGGACCGGTTGGGTTCTGTCATGGGGGCTCAGGGAAGTAATTAAAATAATGAGAGTGATGGTCAGGAGCGGGGGAACCCAGGTGGCTCCTGAAAGTGAGAATCCCCAGAAATTCTGCATCTGTCTCCCTGATAATTGTGCAGTGGTGCTCAGCCCTGGGTTGTTGGAATTGGAGTTTTGCTGATGAAGCACCTGGTTAGATTTTTAATGTTCTGACACTGGGCTGACAGAGCTGCCTGTTTCTGTTGCTGCTTTCTGAAGACATTTTACCGTCATCTAATTAGTGAGATAATTTAAATAAGGTTCTGACACTGGGCTGACAGAGCTGCCTGTTTCTGTTGCTGCTTTCTGAAGAGATTATCTAATTAGTGAGTTAATTTAAATAACAAAGCACTTCTGCAGGGCCAAGGGGAAGAGTCTTCAGTGTAATAAAACAGCCTCAGACCTTAACTTCAATCTCTCCAGTGGAATCTGAGGCAGAGCAGTGGGGAGGGCCTTGGCCCCGAAGGATCAGAAGTGGAGCAGAATTCCTGTCCTTGCTGACTTTCTGCAGTGTGCAGTCATTGTAAAGTGGTGAACAGCAAAACCAAACGCTCTGAATGTGCACCTGGAGTTCCTATTTTTAAAAATGTCAATTGTGTCCTTCTCTACTACACACATCTGTATTTCCTAGCAACGTGCCTGCATGTTGGGAGCTTTCACACCATTAAAAAGGGCAAGGTCAGCATTCCAGGGAGCCTCTGCATCCAGAGCAGAGACGTTCAGGGGACAAGGAGATGATTTTCCCCTGCCCACCCTTAGATGCACAGTGCTGGGCACAGGCTGTGGAGGCTGTCACAGCAGGTGACAACTGCAGGTGACAGCAGTGCAGGAGCAGCTGGGTCCCTGTCCATCCCCTGGTGCACCTGGATGGGAACACAGCTCCCAGGAGAGGCTCAGGTTGCTGTTCAGTTCCTCTAAACCAGCCTTGAGGCAACTCCCTTCAGGTAACACCTTTGTGCAAATGAGTTCCAAGTGTAAAAACTCTTGCTGTGGGGGAAATAGTTTTTAATGATGCATTTAAGAATTCGTTATGTTAATACAGGTACAGTGAAAGAGTCTGGTGAGAAACATAAGGGATCTGTTGAAATTCCTAACCTGTCAGAAGAAAATGAGGTAGATGATACAGAGGTAGGTGTGCAACACTGGCATGGCTGTATAGGTCCACAGTTCTTAAATAAAGTTAATCAACATCTAGGCATCATATTTTGATTTATCCTGTTGTTAAGTGGGGTAATTACTATGTGGATAGTTCATTTCATGCTTTTGTTTATTATACTTGGAATAATGCCTTATTCTGTTCTCAGATTTACCAATGAGGAATGTGCAGTTTGCTTTGCTAATTATTGATTCTGATAATATTTTAACTATAAATTTGAGAAGAACTCTGCTTGTAGTCTTAAAAACAAAACCCCAAACCACTCCCAGCCCTAAGCCCTTAGGGAGTCTCCGTGTTGGCTGGATCATGGTGGATACTGGGCTTCCACAGATCCTTCAGCCTCTGCTGAGAAGCAGCTCTTGGCTATGCTTGATGAACCAGACTGAGTGGAGATACTACATTTATTTATGTCTTAAGAGGACTTATTTTTAGCAAAGGTGGGCTACCCCAAGATCATTAATTTGAAATTGCAGCTGTCCTCTGAGCATGGTAAACAAAGCCCAAACGCTTTCCTTTGTTGCCAGATCCCAAAGGCTCATGTCTGGGGTCTCTTAAGTGCTGTCATTTTTCTGTTTCT